GGGCTTGATGTTCGTGGCTTGATTGTGATCAGAATGACGCCCATTTTACAGGTCACATGCAAATACCATGGAAGCCCATCATCGCGGTCTTCGGCTATTCTGGGCTAGCTTCTCACTTTGTTCTTAGACTTTGGATTGAGCCCATCGCTCCTGGAAATATTGGATAGGGCGTACCCAATAATTTAACATTTATCATCAATCATGCCCGATAATTTTCGAATATCGTGTAATCATCCTGGATATTAGATAAATAGAGAAAATTAAGATTTGCTTGGTATTGGTTCTGTAGAGGACGAACATTTCAGTAATGTTACCTTTACTCCTTAATATAAAAGCTAATTAACTAATTTGAGTATATTAATAAAGTTTGTTAAATTAGTTGTTTATAATAAATAGGTGTTGTCTTTCATAAATATTCTAACTAATCATGTATATTAGTTAGAACTGCTATTTAATAGAACTTTTAACATGTGCAGCTACTACAATGTCTATTCTGACAAAAATAAAAAAATATGAGAGATGAATTAGATTGGGTTCTCATTGTTAATACTACCCCTGGTCCTAATTATAAGAGCTAATTGACTAATTTGAGGATATTAAAGAAATAAGTTAAGTTAGTTACATGTTATAGAAATATTGTTTTTCCTAAGACATCCTTGCTAATCAAATGTATTAGTTAGAACTACCATTATTAGAAGGACTATCTTGGGAAAAAATATATAAATATGAAAGACAAAGTGGATTGAGGTCTTATATTTAGGATCAAAATAAAAGTCAAACAAGGTCCTATATTAAGGACTGAAGCTAGTATCAAATTAAAAGTCAAGTTAACTCTTATATTAAAGATCGGAGCTAATCATTCATGAACACGTAGGGGAACGAGAATTATCTCATTGAAAGGGGAAAGTGATGTGATACCATGGGGGAATTGTGGAGCGTTTAAATTGATAGAAACGATAGCTTTGATTTGACTGCAAAATGGATGTCTAACATTATAGGGTTTTCCTGGGAAATGAGAATTGAGCATTGAGCAACACCATTGGAAGATCAATGTGTAGCATGAGGGCAAATATTGCATTGGATAAATCTGGTTAGAGACAACAATTTTTTCATCAACGCTGAGCTGCCCTTGGAGTTTTTTCATAAATCTCTGTCCGCTGAGCGTCGGAATGTTCTGCGCTTAAATTATGAGGCCGTTGAAGGATAAAAATGCGGGATTGGGAAGACACAAGAAGCTAAAGAGAAGACGCGCATGGTGGACCCATGTTGTGTCTTGACGAGCACCAGACAGACAGTTTTCCCTGCCGTTCGTCCGGCCCATTTCTCCTAAGATGGGCTCTCGGAAGAGCCCAAAATACCAGCCTTAGGCCCACCGCATTTGCTTCCTTCCAAAGTTACTTAGCTGACTTACTATTATCCCACTCTAGATATAAAATCTTAATCAATTTTGTTTCCTAAATTTATAATACGTTCTCAAAAATACTTTTATTGATTGTAAAATATATTCAGGCAAGTACAGTTTCAATGCACATGATTAAATAAGGATAATTTAAGAAAATCAATTTTCATTTGTTACAAATAACTAATATAACTAATTTTTTTATTTTTTTTTAAATTAGTTATTTAGCTCTTATATTAAGGATCAAAGGTAACAATTCATATTTTTCTGGTCCTTAATATAGAAACCAATTAGAGAGTTAATGTTGGTCTCTTTAGAAGACATATTTTATATTTTTTTTTCCAAATTAACTTATTGATATTCTCCAAAAAGGAAGGCAGGAAACATTGGTGCGCCTGGGGCACCTAACGTGAGTCCTTTTGGCGGTTGAGAGGAGTCTTCCATCTTCGACCTGTATCTTGATCGACAGAATATTAACAATTTCTAGATTTATTAAGATTAAGATTATGAACAGAGGCAGATCATCTTAACTGGGCTCATGGTTTCCACTTGTCCAAGGCACTTGCTTTCGCCATTTGTCTTCATCCCCCCAAAACAAAATTCTGTGCGTATAAACTCGGTGTTTGAATTCCTTTTTAATATTTCCATCCTTTACTTTGACTCGTGTTCTCATCCAAACACCTGTTCCCCTTCTGAACAAAACGCGATTATGCAAATTCCATTCCCATTTTCAAACAAAACATACAATACAGCCACGTCTTCCGACAGGTGAATTTGAAATCCAAATTAGTCCCAGCTCCTGACAAGAATTCAGTGCGCAGCATGGTATGGAATTCCTTGACGAAACAACATTACGTTTTAGAAGAGTCCTCATTTTACGAGTCATGTGGGGATAAGCAGCGTTCATAATTCCCAATTACTGATCATGCGATTTGAAATGTCAACACGCGATGGCTTTTTAATTATATAGCCACTTTGGGAGTTACGGACTAACTTTGAGAAGGTTGTTTGGTTAACTTGTTATCTCATGCCATTGGGCCATCAAATTCAAACCACCTTACCAAACTCGGTTCTGTTGGATCACTTCCCCATCTATTTTATTGGGCGGATGTTACGTAGTTTTCATTCCGTCCCTGAATCCAACTAATTTGAATTCCCCCCGCCTTGCAGTCCTCCTCGTGTCATATTCCCCTATAAATAGCCTCCTCGCATTTATTTGAGATCCTATCATTTTTTTAATTAAATATAAATCATAAAATTTGTTGTTTGGATACATACCCCCCCTTTTTTTTTGCTTAAATGAATAATACGTTTTCAAGATATATAGCGTCTTACTTAAAATATAAATTTTTAGGGGGCAGTGACTGGATTTGATGGTTAAATGTTTAAATTGAATGAATTATCAGTAAAAATATAAAACTTCCACCTGAACAGCATGAAGGTATACTGAGACTTGATAATTCGCCCAAGAGGGGGAAAAAAAGAAGGAAAAATTGCTCTGCGGTCTCAGACAAAATACTGCAAAAATCAGTCTCAAAAGGACTTAACTACAATAATAATAAAAGATGTTAAAAAGACCTTGTTGCTCCTAATACAAAAAGAGCTCCTAAAAAAGAGAGTTATCGTTAATATTACTATTTCACTTGTAAATTTATTTGCTTATATCAATTTGACAAAAATGTGATTTTAAGTTACATAATGACAATTAATATTAAAATATATTGTAGACTAATATTTTTTTTTAATGATGATATGATATACCATCATTGTTAGAAGTCAATTATCACTCGTAAAGTTGTCAAATTAGTTGTCATTGATTACCTATTCACTTGTTAACATTACCCAATTTTATATTTATATATGACCTATTTGCATTTTGCTTACTTTTCTAAACAAAAAATAAATAAAACATTTCAAAATCACATATATCAGTAGGAAAATTATTAAGTTATTATGCAGCTATTAACAAGTAAAGGTGCAACAATTAACAACAGACAATGCATACAATGTCATGTAGACTAATATTCTTTTATGATAATATGATATAATGTCGTGATTAAAAATTAATTATTACTCATATGAAATTACTAGCCATTGACTCACTCTTCACTTGTTAATAATGACGGTGTAACTTGAAATCATTTTTTTCAAATTTATATTAACAGATAAATTGACAAGTGTGATAGTAATATTGACAACTATTATGACTTATATTTACAACTATATTTTCAGCATTTTTTCTATACTAAGAATAACAAGGTATTTTCAACTTTTTATTATTTCGGTTAAGTTGGAGCTTAAAACAGTTATCAGATTTTTAAGGACTTTTTTTTTTCAGTATTTTGTCTTTTGTGATATTGAGAGAGAGAGAGAGAGAGAGAGAGAGAGAGATTTGAGAATTCGGATGGATAGGTCTGACCCGGTCGACATTCGCGTTGTGGCGTTCAAATTTTGTCCACTTGCGGCCCTGTCGTCCCCAAGTTAGATTCCTTTCATTATTTCTTTTCCAGTTAAGATAGAATAGGTCATATTAAATCGCATTTAGTGAATTTTCACCTAAAAATCATTTAAATTTTGTTTAACGTAACAACATTGCCCACATGGCACACTTTTTCCATTACTTATTAATAAAACAATATTATATCTAGTCTTTAATATTAGAGATAATATTAGAGATAGTTTGACTTTTAATTTGATTTTAAATATGAGACCTTAATTCATTTTATTTCTTATATTTATCTATTTTATTTAAAGTAGTCCTCGTAGTAGTTGTACGTATTAAATATTTTATTACATAATAGTTCTAACTAATACTCATTAGTAGCGAGGATATTTTAGAAAAATGATACATATTTATTATAAATAACTAACTTAACTAATTTTCTCAATCTACTCATATTAGTTAATTAGTTTTTATATTAAAAAATGAAAGTAATATTTTCCTTCACATCATAAAATGATCCGCGTGATATTCACGCCACTGTTATTAGTAAATAACTTTTTAAGTCAAGGGAAGATGAATTAAATATCAAATATTCTTTAAGAACTGCTGGTAAAAAAAAATTTCTTTAAGAACTAAAATTTATTTTCGAGTGGCACTCGTTCGCCTATCTTTATTTATGCAGGGAAAAATTCGAAAGGCAGGTGTCACATAAGATAAGGGAGTCGTAAAGATAGGCAAAATCAGAAGAATTTTTGGGATGGGAGAGAGGTTGCTGTGAATGATATTTTGGAGTCATTTTCGGGAAAACTGGAATAAGAAAATTCAGAGGTCCAAGTCCAAAGTGTGGGTTTTAGTTTAGTTTACGGGCAGGCAAATGATGGCGAAGCCGGGTTCCTCACTCTGGTCTTTTCCCAGCTCTTTGAACACCGAGATATGGTCAGACTCAACACGCACACACACAAAATAGTAGTAACAGCTGTAGAATACAGGGTCCTGGTCCCTGTCTTCTCTTCTCCCCCATAAAAATCCCCATGTCTCCTGCTTCTCGATAGAAATTAGAAACCCTACATTCCTGCAAACCCCATTCCTATCTTCCTCCTTCTCTTCATTATACCATCATCACACACTAAAACCACAAGTCTTTTGTAACCCCCACTCATGTCCTCCTCCTTCTCTTGTTGCTTTTGTCCTTCTCATACTTCCGACGACCCTCCTCCTCCTCCTCCTTCCCTCTCGCCCACTAATCCCAACGTCACCACCTATTTGTATCACACCCACCTCGGCTTCGTTTCCCTCACTTGGTCTCGCTCTGTTCTGGGTCGTTCCCTTCATCTTCAGCTCCATTACCACCTCCCCCATCTTCATTCTCCTCCTCCTCCTTCTTCTGCTTCTGCTTCTTTTCACCTCCACATCAAGCCCTTCCTCTGCTGCCAAAAGCGCGGGGTCAAGAAGATCTACCCCAACACCCGCATCTTTTGGAATGTTTCCAAAGCCAGATTTGGGGCCGGACCTGAACCTCTCTCTGGTTTCTATGTCGCCGTCGTTGTCGACAAGAACGTGGTCCTTCTGGTTGGCGATGGCGTGAAGGAAGCTTATTCGAGGACCCGAGCAAGCGAGCCCTTGACCCCTCAGATTCTTGTTCTGAAAAGGGAGCATGTGGTTGCCAATAAGGTTTATTCCACGAAGGCCAAATTCGGAGGCAGAATGAGAGACATAGAGATCGATTGCGCTTCCGGAGACGACTCCAGGCTCTGCTTCAGCATCGATGGCAAAAGGGTGCTGCAGATTAAGCGTTTGAAATGGAAATTTAGAGGGAATGAGAAAGTGGAAGTGGATGGGGTTCCCATTCAAATCTCCTGGGACGTCTACAACTGGCTGTTCGAGAAAGAGAGCGGCGATGGGCATGCGATTTTCATGTTCAAATTTGAAGAAGAAGATGATGATGAAGAAGCAGGAGGCAAGGAAACTGGGGAGAAGAGCTTGACGACTTTGTGGACGCAGCAGCAAAACTTGAGCGGATCCAATGAATTGGGGAAGAGCTTTTCATCATCGTCAGTGTCAATGTCGTCGTCGGCGAGGTCCTTGGGTGCCAACTCCTCTGTGCTGGAATGGTCGAGCCTGGAGGAGAATGAATTGGTGGTTCCTGTTGGCTTTTCTTTGCTCATTTATGCCTGGAAAAGTTGAGCATCGTTATAGCTTCTCTTTCTTGTCTGCCATAATTACTTGCACTGACTTCTCTAACTAACCCCATTTATTTGTCAGTCCAATAAATCTCCTTAGAATCGTAAAGAAGAAATCTTTCTGCAGATTCTCGCTCCATTTCCTTTCTGTACACTCTGTTTTAATTCACCTAATAGATGCTTGCTTTATTGCATTCATCGTGTTGTGAGAAGCAGCTTTGATTAAGCTTAATGGAACAAAACGAATTTGGTCATAATTTGTTGTTTGTCCTTCATTTGCGCATCAACAATAAGCATAGTTTTCCCTTCATTTGCGTATTAACGATTGGAATAATAATCCAAAATGCGCAATATCTACGGTCCGCATAATGACTTCTTCATCGGACTGATTTGGCAACTATCGGGACCGGTATGAGCCGCAGATTAGCAATTTGACCCGGTCTACCGATAATCCAATTGTTGAATTCAACAGTTGATTTTTTAGGGACAGGGCGATAACTTGGTGTTTTCATCATCAACCATGTTCATCGATTTCAGTGATAGTATTATTTTACGTTGCTGACGAGAACGAAACAAAAACGTGAAAGCAGATGAAGGATTGGGCAGGAGGAAGAGTACTAAAAAGGATCTACCAAGAATGTAATAAAAGATGCAGAGTACTATAAGTCGAATAGCTTCGAGGAATTGAATTGCAAAATTAAAGAAGGGTGGAGGAGTAGGAAAGGAATGTGATTATGTGAAGATGATGGGAGGGACACTGCAAAAAATGGTGAGATGGGTTTTCGGAAAGGATAAGGATGGATGAAGATGAACCCTAGTTCGTCTCCTCGGCCCTACGAGCACGGCTGAAAGCTCCTTTCCTTTCCACTGTTACATTTTTAGCATGGTCAATAACCTTCCACTGCATTTTCCTGCTCTACTTTTGTAACTTCATGATGCTTCCGTCTCTTATCCTTCTTCCCTGTTCATATATGTAAAAGATACTAATTTGCTTTTTAAGATAAGAACTAGTTTGGTTTTTAATTTGATTCTAAATATAAAATCTTAATTCACTTTATTCTCATATTTATCTATTTTTTTAAAGTAGTCTTTGTAATAATTGTCCACATAAAATATTTCATCAAATAGTAGTTTTAACTAATATATATGGTTGATAAGGGTATTTTAGTAAAAACATCTATTTATGGTAAATAAGTAACGTACTAAACTTTCTTAATCCACTTAAATTAGTTAACTAATTTTTATATTAAGAATCAGAGATAGTAATATTTATAATTACCTCATGACACATAATCCACTCTAATTTATGATGAATAACTCTATTTTTTTCACAGTTATAAAATGTTACGCCTTTTCGACTCCCAAAAGAAAAATCTAAAGCAAATCATGCTAAATACTACTTCTGATTCTTAATACTACCTCCGGTTTTTAATATAAGACCTATTTGATTTTTATTTTGGTTCTAAATATAAAACCCCAATTCATTTTATCTCTTATATTTATACATTTTTTTTCAAAGTAGCCCTTCTAATAATGATAGTTTTAGTCAATATACTTGATTAGCAAAGATATTTTAGAAAAGACAACACCTATTTAAGACAAATAACTAACTCGACTTACTTCCTTAATCTCTTCAAATTAGTCAACTGGCTCTTATAATTAGGACCAGAGGTAGTATAAGATCTTGTTTGACTTTTATCTTGACTCTAAATATAAGACTCCAATCTACTTTGTCTCTCATATTTCTGTATTTTTTTTCAAGGTAATCCTTCTAATAATGGTAGTTTTAGCTAATATACTTGATTAACAAGGATATTTTTAAGGAAAGACAACATCTATTTATTACAAATAACTAACTTAACTTATTTTCTTAATCTCATCAAATTAGTCAACTAACTTTTATAATTAGGATCGGAGGTGGTAATTTTTTTCGGTAGCGGGAACGTGCTCTCAGTAAAGTGCTTTTTGTATTTGATTACTTATGTCATGTGACAATATTTATTTAATGTGCGCTTAATTATTATCAAATGTTAATAGGACTTTAAACGAATTAGATGTATACCTGTGCACAATAAAATCAATGTAATATAATACATAGAAAAAAAATGAAAAAGTATGGTCACTATTCATGGATCCACTTCTCAAATTTCTATGTGTGATATTTTTTTGCAATAATATTTTTATCTACTGGTCGAATTTCTCAACTCCACTTCAAATGTTAGACAATTTAATATAATACTACCTTCGGTCCTAATTATAAGAGCTAATTGACTAATTTGAGGAGATTAAGAAAAGAAGTTAAGTTAGTTATTTGTCATAAATATGTATTGTCTTTTTTAAAATATCCTTGCTAATCAAGTGTATTGGCCATAATATCATTGTTAGAAAGACTATTTTGAAAAAAATGTATAAATATTAAAGACAAAGTGAATTGGGGTCTTATATTTAGGATCAAAATAAAAGTAAAGTAGGATTTTATATTAAGAACCGGAGGCAGTATATAGAAAGAATAAGAATGATAATTGCCTGTGTGTTAGAGTTCACGTTAAAAGAAGAAGAGGAGGAAGAAGAAGAAGAGTATGTTAAAAAACAGGAGTAGGAAGGTTAAATGTTAGTGTTGAGAGTGGAGGCAGGTAAGAAAGAAGATGGTGTTTGGTAATAGGCAATAGCCGCGAAGCAAGAAAGGGAGAAAGAGTCCGCCACATGGAGTTTGGTGGCTAGGAATGTTGGTTGGAGTGAGACAGGATGGGGGGCGTCGAGATAGCCAATTAGATTGATGGTTCCTTCTGAGCTCCAGTGTTGGCTTTGTCAAATTTCCCGGTAATATCACTAGTTGCAGTACCCAACAAGGGATTATGGCCTTAGTTATCCCTAATACGAATTGCAGATTACTTTGTGGATGGTACATAAATTTGACTCACATTTCTAAAACAACCAAAAGCATGGGAATCAGGAGAGGAGAGGATGGGCTGCGCCAATGGCCAGTCAAAGAAGGTTGGGTTTTTGTGTCAGATTTCATCTGGGATCTCATGTGCTCTAACCCTTAACTGTATAATTATAATTAAAGTTCGTTTGGCAGCAAATTCCATTATTTAACCCTTGCTTGGAGGTCGACAAATGGGACGGAGCCTCCGCCTAATTAATAATTGAGTTGGGGAGCACGAGGGGAGGGGGTTCTTACTTCTCGCATCATTTATTGGCTGCAACTTAATTAGCTGTTACGCCACGAGCGACACGCCTGACTTCCTTTACTTTTCCTTCCTTTCCGATACGTAAATCCCACGTGTCGTTGAAGCCATTGGAAGTAGCATCATCAACCATATTAACCATTTCTTTTTGTTCTGTATTTTCCTATTTTATTCCCACCGTCTTTGATCCGTCTTTCATTGACTGCATGCAACCACTTTACGTTGGGCCCTATCAGCACTCATCATCGCTCAGCAAAACTAGAGGCATGATGTAAATGTGAATTCATCATAACCTCATCTGCTAATAACTCTCCAGGGAACCCAAAAAACACATTCCGAGAAAAAGTTGAGCCTAAAACAAACAAGAGTGAATGGCTTGTTTCGAGTCTGGAGAGTATGCCTTAAAAGCGGGTTGGCTCCTCGGAGTTCCCAACGACGATGTTGCAGGATCGGATGCTTTGTTAGCGAGACTCAGTAATCGAATACAGCACATTGGCTCACGAAATTACATGCTAATTGTATGCTATATACTCCTCAATTAGTACATCTTTCTTCTATAATTGCTACCTTGAATTGTACACTTCAGCAAATGTAGTGGTCGCATGATATTGCACGCATCAGAAAAAAAATAATTAAAAAAAAAAAGTAGGGGACAAAGACATTTGCGCTCACCGTAGGAGGGCAGCATTTCAGAGGGAGGGAGAGAAAGAGACAGAACAATTCCCTAGCAGCTATGGGCACACTATGAATATACAATTGAACATAAAGATGGAGCAGACACATAAGTTGCTTTCCTCCTCAGCTTTTTACTTACCTGACTGTTAATCACGGGGTTTAATCAGAGATGAAGATGGAGGTATACAGCGTCATTGGCCACTGCTATAAACTGGCGCACCTCAAGATAATTGCGGTTTGGAGGAAGCCTCGTATCTTCTAGAAGAATGACTTTTCAGTTTCTTTCTTTCTGCTTCGGAGGCCCCATTATCTGATGACACTGCTCGGATCTTCGTATCACTTAGTTCAGGCGGAAGAACGCAGTTGCACAGTAAGCCTACAATCATATTCAGAAGCGCGTGTTATTATCAAGGGGGAAGGAGTTCCCCATAATCGTAGGAGGAACATAAGGAAAGTTGCATGGGCTCCTAGACCGATACGGGTGAACTGAGAAAACTTATAGCGTAATCAAAGTATCTAGCAATTCAAGGTTTCAATGAATCTGGCTGAATAGCCCTGTTCTCGATTCATGCTGGGGAATCAAATGCCAGAGTGGCAGGTAGACTCTGTTGAAAACAATTCTTTCAAGATAATCCCAACCATTTTAAAAGATTTCGTCGGCACTACCATCCGCTTCCAATAAAAGTACACAAAAACCCCAACATGCAACAATACCAATCATAAGGTTGTAATGGATCCTGAAGCTGACATGAAACAATATGATAAGCATTCATATAGAGAACAAAGAAAGAGAGAAGCATGTAACCAAAACTGAAACAGATTAAGAGATGCAAAGTAGGATCCGCAGTATATCACAGAGCTAATCCACTACATTTAATCATTTATCACACATAAAAACAGCATCATCTTCCAGAAGGAAAATCATATGTTCTATCTGCCTAGAAAATTACCTTAAGAGGTGAGTGAAAAAGCAATGCACATAAACCGGATGGAAGATGATAATTAATATAAATAAGCTTAGGTGTCTTTCTTACCAAGCCGAGCCAGTCGATTTACCCAGCGAGGGATTGACTTGTTGGTTAGTTTGAGACAAACATCGTTACAAAAGTGATTGCAGTTTTTTGTGATAAGATGATACGAGTTCCCAGCATAATTATCAGCTATTGACTCCATATATGCCCGAACCTCTCTGGGGTTCAAGTCTGTTGATCCAATATATATTGATTTTCTGAAAGTGAAACCAGGACAACGGCGAGGCTCTAATTCGAATATCCCGGATGTTGGACGGTCATGTGCGCCAAATGCATATTCAACGCCATGAACTACAATAAATTAAACCAATAAACTGTTATAAGTGCTAACACTCTGAGCGAAATTAACATATAGCCGTAAAACCAGTAGTTACAAAAAATTCCCTTTCGCTACTCAGATGATGCTGAAGAACAAGACAAACATGTAGCATTCTGATCAGGCTAAAATCCAAAACTTAGTGAACGAAGGCAGAGAAACCGCAATCAAGTCCAGACACATTAGCATGAAGAACAGTTCTTATAAATTTACAATAAGATTTCCTCCCACTTTAGGCGTGCAATAATCTGCAGATTGGGTTTCTTGGAAACAGGGCTGGCAAAATACACGCCTATTATATATCGTTTCAATCGTTTCAATTCAATAACCGACTCAATGAAGCACGGCACGAAATTGGTGAAATAATCTTACAACAGTATTAGAAAAATAAAGGCAACCGTTCTTCGATTTCATGATAACGATTAGCCCGCTCAGAGAATTCGTGGTCATGAACGGAACGCGAAATACACAACCACGGATCTAAATTGATTATCCAGGATTTTGATTGCCAATTATCCCGCGAGAGAAACTAGAGTATGAGAATTAGGGTTCTCTTACGCTAAAGATAGGTAATGCCCAGAATTTCATTTTGCTCCCTGGCTTCCTTGAAAGCAAAGAAACGAGAAAAAAATACTTGAAGCAAAAGGGTACAACGAAAAAAAGTTCGCCAACCTTGAACACCAGAATGATAGACTCCGAGCCCAAACCAATATGCATACCCATTGATCGGCGTAAGATCATAGACGTTAAGGTACACCGGATTATTTCCCTGCGTCTTCTTCCGTGTTCTCATCACCTTTTTACACAACATTATGTGATTCCCAAAAATTTTCCAGCAGTTCCTCCTCGAAACGTTGGAAGCCAACGTATGCTTCAGAGAAGGAAAGCCTGCGATTCAGGAATCACAGAAGCTGATTCCGGCGACGGTATGTGAGGCCAAGGGCCAGGAGGAAATAAACAGGGAAAATCCAAGGGTGGATTGAGAAGTCAGAAGCCTCGAGATTCGCTGCGAAGAATGATTCTTTCTTCTCCTCTTATGCTCTGTCCCAAAAGGGAGAAGAAGAGCGAGGAGAAGAGTCTTGTACCAGACTTCTACCGGCGGCCGAAAGTGCTTTTGCCTTTATTATTGTCCTCGTGCTTAGGAGATGCGGGTATTGTTCTAAACAATAATTTTTTAAAAAGTTTTAAAATTGCGCTGCAAAAAGATAAAATGTAATTAAGAAGGGGTGCTCAAAAAAGATAAAAAAAAAATAGAATGAATATTAATTTTGTACACTGACGAATGCAACATGTGCTGGCTCTCAGCCTTTTCTGCAACAAATTCGCAACCATGCTGCGAAAGGCTTGACCTTGAAGTCACCCCCGGATTTACCAATTTGGAACTCCTATTTATAGAACGTGCTCCTCCGTTTTGTGTTGGAATTCTATCTTCAACAAAACTTTGATTCCGAATAAAAAAAGAAACCGGCTTTCACAAATCCAACAACGGGGGCTCCATTCTCTCTGCTTTTTCTTCTTTTTTTGGTGATGGGAGCTCCATTCTCTCTTTCACACGAAACAAAATAAGCTTTGATATCTGATAAAAATATATGTGCAACTTTATGCCAGCACTAACTACTGAGTGAGTCGATCTGGGTCGATCCAACTGTGACTTTAAATCTAGCGTGGCGAATGATTATTTTCAGCAGCATTTAGAATTCCAAAGGGTATTGAATGTCATTCATGTGTTCCCCTTCTCCCAAGGAACTATGTGGTCCTTGGCAGGCCAAAGCAAGAGTCCAAGACCTTACGGGAACATTTCAGGATATATTAACCATATTTATCATTCCACTTGGGGTCCATCCCTTGCAGAATACTCACAACGACACAGTTCAGTGAACCCCAATGGAGCTATGCTTGATGTTTCTGACTCCATCACCGCTTGGGACGCTTGCTGCTATATATGCCAGAATTAAGGAACAGGGTTGATATCATCAACCATATATGGGATCATGTTTCGTTTTTTTAATGTTTATGGTTAGTTTCATAATAATGAGATGAAGAAAGTCGGAAGGAAGCGGTAAATGCAAAAAATGATGATGGAGGCATGCATAAAGGGCTGGGGTAAACAAATGATGCGTGATGATGAGGGAATAGACAAATGTCGAATTATTATAGCCACTGGATGTCGGGGTTTCCCAACGCCACATTGGAACACCACTTATATATTCTCTGTAAAGTCCATCATAACTTCGATTCCAGGGAATTACTAGTGCCATCCAAACTGTTTGTTTCCTCTCACAGTCAAATCCCCAAAAAGCTCTCAGAGTTTATGATAATAAGTGTATGGTCATTTAATTACGACAATTAAAGAGTTTGCGAGGGCTGATGAGAAAGAAAAGACTGGCCAGTAACGTAATTGTCATTCACAAGATCAGACAGTGAGTGCAGCTGTGATGCGTATAGCTTCTTTATCACTTTATTCATTTAATGGAATCCATGCTTTGTTTCTTTTCTGTCGCAGCATTACCCTCTTTTCTCGCTTGCAGGAAGGAAAAAAAGGGAATTCAGATGCTTATCCTCGAATAACTTTGACGAGAGCTGTGGCACAATCAGTGGGTGGCCAAAAAAGATTCAATTTTTATACATAATACTATCATTAAGTGGAAAAGAAAAAACAGATAAAGGATGCCCTCTTGGCTAAGTCACCACCCATCGGGTGACTGGTGACGATTCATCAGCGTTTGTTCACTCCCAACATGGAGGCTTCTCCTAGGTCAAGCTTAAGTACCAAGTTGCCATGCACTCATAAATGAGGAGCTGTTGAGTTGATGACACAGACGAGTTGCCATATCAAACTGCATATATTTCAGTTTTCTGTTCACAAGTTGATGTTGAAAAGCAGAAAAGATAAAAAGGAAAAATAATATATCTAGAGACACACACATACACAAGGTGGCGATAAGATTTTGGAGGTAGCGGTGATAATTGAAAAGACACAGAAGCGTGGGGGTGCTTTGGAGGGATGTTGAGGAAATATGGAAGGACGTGAATGGAAGGCAAACTCACGTGAGGTGTCTAAGGAGACTAATATGCTTTCCTGAGTTGCCTCCGTCCAGCGAAACATCTCTGTCACTTAACCAACTATTTTCCTTTACAGCCACATTAGTGTCCCCTCCTCATAATGTCTTCTTATTTATTGCACTCGTCTCCACTACTCTAATTATATATATATATATATATATATATATATATCCACCCTCATTTTTCCTTTTCTTTATTTTTAAGTATTTCTGCGCCATTATTATGATCAGCTTTTGTAGGAGTAGGACCGATCTATCCTATGTTTTACTCCTTTCATTTCCCTTTATGGGCCTTTTGTTTTTGTCAGACTAATCCATTTGCATCTCTTTCTAAAAATCCGAGGTAAAATTAATTAATTTTTAATCTTAAAATTACAAATAATATTAATCAACACAATTAATTAAGTTTACATTAAAAAAAGTTCTTTTTGCCAAGCATATGTATTTTTCTATTGGAGGCAATCATATTCAAGACCTTGTCAGGCACTAAATGTATTCATCTTTCCCAGTGGAGATTTAAATCATAGTTCATAATGTTATGAAAAACTAGTTCTTTCTACTAGTTCTGAGTCCAAAAAAAAAAACCCAGTTCCCGTTAGTTATTAAAAAAAGTTCTATCCCACTTTACGAGAATGATTAGTGATTGGACCTAATAAATAGAGGGGTTGTTTGGGTAAGAATAAAACCATAGTTTCAGAAGTACTTTTAAGGTATGCAAAATAAATATGTAAAAAAGTTTATCTCGATTTGTGAAAATATGCTTTTGAAAAGTATTTCTGAGGTTACCCAACCACCCCCCATGCCCATGATTTGGTTTCAAAAGCCCAATCCTTCGTCACAGGCGTACTTTCAATTGTTACCCAAGGCTGTGTTGCAATTTGAATGGGCCTTTCAGTTGTTGTTGAATAATGGGCCTCATTGGTTAAGAGTGGCACATAAGTTTAGACCCAAAAGAAAAAAAGCTGATTTGTGACATGCATATCTTCAACCCATCACAATGTTGGGCCTGACAGAACTGGAGGTCCAAAAAAATTATAACTGATTATCACTTATTGACTGAAATATTAGAGTATTTCCCATTTATTTCATCTATATTGATTTTTCACTGTTTAACGGCATTTCTCAACACATGTACAAAAACGATTAAACTACAGAGGTTTTTAAATTCTGAGTTATTAAATATTCGATTAAAAGATGCGTTTTCGGTGCATACGTGTCGGTGTTCAACATCTGCAATCCAGAATACTCGCACGCTTCCTTGGTGAAAGAAGCAAAAGATCTCTAACAGGGCCTTTCCCTTTCAACCTACCTATTCGTAAAAAGAAGACGATGGATGGATATATTTATTTATCTAGTTATGGTAGGGATGAATGAGGCGCCAATAGAGCAAGGGCATGTGAAATAAAAACGACACTTTGTTGAGGGGGTTGCAGGGTGAAAGGGAAGCTTCAAAATTAATTTCAACGGAGGCTTCTGATAATGACTGACGAACACGTTTAATAAATCAACTTAAAATATCAGAAACTTGCGTGAAATGGATCACACAGCAGATCCATTATAGTATTCCATGACGAATCTTCTCTAGATTTGAGGCCACTCTCATGAGAGAGACCCTTATCATGCACCCCGTACACGACAACCATACACCCTTTTACTATAAGACTAAAGTCTTTTCATACGATTTTCCTGCTTTGCATATCTGGACAATCACGCGCCCCCCACACGCACTCTCTCTCTCTCTCTCTCTCTCTGTTCTTTTTTTATCCAAATATGAATTTACAATCATGTTATATATGTAACTCACTGTCAAGTTGGGTTTTTGGTATGATGATGAAGTTGATAACTTAATATATTCAAATTATTCGCTCTTGTTGTCACTTTTGTCTCTGCATTATAGCAGAATCTTATTGGACATCTAGCAGTTAACAACTCTTGAATTCTTTTTCTAGAAAATTAATGTCACAAATCACAACTCAAGCCAATGGACAGGGATTATTTTGGACGAATTCTGAATCATTTCTGTGAAATTTTGGTCTCAACTTGCTCGCATCCATGTTCTTTTACTTGGATCAAAAGGACGGAGACCTTGACTTTGTACTTGTGTGATCACATGTATATATGATCAAAACTTCATGGATTAACGATCAAACACTATGAATTCAAATCGTGAGGGAGTTTAGCCGCTGTGATGTTGTGACAAATCAACATTTACAAGGAATCTGGCCACCGAAACTTGTAATCAGATTCACAGATAATTAACAACGAAGACACAAAAGAAAACTCCGCGAAAAACTTGAAATATAAACAAAGCAATAATGCTCCTTACAGAGATCTAGAGGAGATGAATATGCCACAAATCAGGTTGATTAACAGAAACAGAACTTTGATCCTACCGAGAAAAAAATTTACAATATATAATTATTCCGGGCGCTGGGAAAAGAAATTTGACAAAATGATTTACCCTATTGATCATACAGGCCATCCAGGATTCCGAAACTAATCAACGACTCTATGCGCCTAAAGCTTGAGAGACAAATCAAGGTGCTTCATTTCTTCCGGATTTGTCTTCAAACAATGAGTCCCACTCACCAAATACCCACTGATCTCTTCATTTTCTGCAGAACCCATCTTGGTCTTCATCATTTCAAACCTCCCCACACTGCCTCTCGAAGCTAATCCCGACGTCGTTTTATGAAAATTCACCATCTCTAGTTTCCCTATCCCAGGCTGTTGTGACCAAGCCCTATGAACATTATTAGATGGCTTGTGGATCAAGGAGTGAGCCTGAATCCCCAGAGGCCTATTATTGCAGGCAGCACCATATAGAGGCAGAGACGCCATGCTCGCATACCCATAATTATGCAGAAAGGGATGCCCATAAGCTGCTGCTGAAGCCAGTATTTGCGTTCCGAGTCTCTGTCCTCTTTTCGCGATTGATCTCTCCCTTTTGTGCGCATTTTGATGTCCCCCAAGCGCTTGTGAACTGTAGAACTTTCTCTGGCAGTAATTACATGAGAAAAATCGTGGTTCTGCTTCTGAACCGGCACCGGCACCGGCACCGGCACCATCAGCACAACTTTCTGATGATGTTTTTGATGAAGTCTGATCCAAGCAAGTGATGAGATTGAGTTCAGGGCTGTTCTCAAGACCAGAATTATGACCAGAAGCATTAAGATCAAATAAAGTTTGTGTCTTGACCTTGTCTTCTTGGCAGTTTTCGTCTTCATCTTCAACAAGTTGATGCAGGCATACGTCGTTCCTCAGTTCTTCCATCTCGGAGTACTTTTCCTGGTCCTCTTGTTTGCAAGGATAACAAATACTGCTTGGGGGTTCTTGACACCGTAAAATGAGGTAAAAAAAAAAAAGCTTATATACTGGTGGGATATATGGAAGCCCACGTATTTTATATTTGTTACACTTTTGACTTTCATGGAAAGTTGGAAACCCCCAGTACATTCACCTGTGCGTTTTGCGGTATAAAATATTTTATTTCTTTGCAATCGTTTTTGTATCTGAGGCCCACCTAATATATGACAATTTCCATTGTAAGCGCGTGGAAGAAAATATAACTCATTACCATTGATCTACTACTTTTTCTCCTAAGTGAGAAAGACTTTGAAATTGAACCCCTAATCGACATCAGCAATATACTGAAGCAGAAATATGCTGTCTGTGCGAATTGTTCATACGAAGTCATACGCATGGCAGAAAAACATTGTGGGAAACGTGGTGAGTCAGCTTGAGTTGGAAAGCAAGTAGTGACATATAGCTGAGCATTGAAAGAAGTTTAGCAGTGAGATGTGGCATCATATGGGAAAGGAGGCAAAGCCCAACACTGTCATGTTCACCGAACAACTTTCCTATGTACTTGAAACTCCATATCCCTGGACAATGTGTCCCATGTTGTTGTAACACTGTCCCTTTTGATTTGCATATCTCTACTTTCAGACGAACTTGCTTTTTTCTGCTTTCCACTTTAACTTGTCTTCCTGTGGCTTCCTAGAAACTGCTACTGATATTCTGGGGAACAATATAATTATATTTTCGATATCTAGCTACAGCATGAGGCCTTCCACAAAACTAATTAACTTCTGCAATTTTCTAGCGACCTGCTTAGCTTCCAGGTAAGTATATATCCTTATATCTTAATTAATGGGATCTTTAATTTAATTTAACAAGAGCGCCTTTCTGTGGAGGAATAATAAGCTTGAGACTTTGTAAATGTTTAAACTAATCGATCAAGTCATGGTTTCCAGCGATGTGTATCGAATCTTGAATGGTGTGAGGGGCAGGTGATACATAAAATTATGTTTAAAAGTGAAGACAAAATTAATGGCCGACAAGTAAAAGGGGAAGCTGATGTGGAGTGGCTGTAATGCCCTTAACAGTGGCATCCCAAGGGTAAGTAAACTTCAGAAGAGAGTGTTTTTTGCGTACTGTGATGTGTAATAATTGTTACCACAGTGACAAGTCATTAGTTGGATAATTATTCTATTATTAATATAAAGGAATTGAAAGAGGGATTGGGCAAACACAGAGGAGGAAGATGATGATAATACATCCGAGAGAAAGGTAACGTTGTATACCAAGTCTAGTCAGTACAAAGAACCAAATCTCAAAAGGAGATCTCTCTGTCTGTGCACATTCGAAAGCAACCTGAAAAAGAGATCCACAAAGTTAAGATCCATGACCTTCCTTTTTCTCCTTAACCATATCTTAAGGGCATCAAAGTACTCGAAAGAAGATCAATCCATCCATCTCTTCCTTTTCCTAACACCCAAGCCAATCAGTGCAGTGTACCCACCACTCCATCGTGTTCTATCGTTCAGACCTCTTTTCAATCTCCTCTCTCTCTCACTGCTATGACACATGCACAAGATTATGCCGAGTGAATAAATGGCTTGTTGGGTTAGCTAGCTAGATGGTCAAGTACGTACTTGAGTCTTTTATTAGATAACCCTACGGCCACATTCGTGTTCATTTTGTCAACATCTTCTGCTTTACTGCTTACTTTGTTTTTGTGCATCTTCCTGGTCGTCGTTGTCGTCGTCATCATCCACTGTCTTCTTAACTCCTTTATCTGCAGAAATTCCTTCCTCTCTCCCTTTCCTTATTCACAAACCTTCATAAAGTCGTTTTTTCCCCCCACCCCTTCTTTATCAATTATTGTTTGTGTTCTCACGAAACGTCGACATGCATACGATGGAACTTTTCTCTTGGCAACTACCAGTTAATGTAAGTGGCGTCGTTTTCACACACAGCCTTGTGCTATTGAAATTGATGCACCGTCTCCTACTGGCTTCGCCAATTATACGAAACAAAGTCATCAGACGCATTTTTGCCTTGCACAGTTTTTCTTAAAGCGTGGCAAAAAAACAAAACAGAATCTATTTCAAAAGATCAAGCAATGCTCCAACGTCTCACAATATAACTTGTCGCCTGGTTGTATATATGTAGAAAATGAATTCCATTTTTATATATAATATTTATTGTACTTTTTGTTATTATTATAACTTGATCTTGGCCACTGCAGTTTTGCTCGGGAGGCAGTGTTTTATTTTTTATAAGAATACTCCAATGTTCAGAACTTCAGATGTAATATAAAAATTCGAATAAATTATAAATAATATAACTTAGTTTTTCATGTTATAACAGTACCTATTCATGCATATTAGATAATTGATATTGATCGAGTGAATGAAATGTAGAGTGACGGGCAATTTGATCGCAATCAAATTAAAGCTCGGGTCATATGAGACACTCATGATTCATGAACAGCAAAATGATGAGCTGATATTTTTGTTGTCATATATTTTTGAATAGAATTCATTGCCCCACAATTGACGATCCTTTTTTTTTTTTAAGCTTAATTTCTTCTCTCTCCCGAGGAAAAAAAAAACTTCACTGGTGATGAAGAGAGCTAACGAAACAAGTACAAATTGGAAGCTCACTAGAAATGACCACTGACTTCTACACTTCCCCACCTCCACATGCATCCAAGGACAGTTCCGGATAACCCTACTGTCATTTGCCAACTTGTCTGCTCTTACCTTTTTTTTTTTTTTTTTTGCTTGAACTTGTCTGCTCTTACTTATTTTGGAAGGGTCCTGAATTTATTTTTTGGGCCTATGCTCTTAATGGACACTTCCTGGATTTGAAGGCCCAATTTAGCCACAGACAGAGAGGTTGGTGAAAGCGGTAATATTGCAGTTGACTGGACTATAAGACTTTCATTTAGTGGTGTTCTTTGGGCCGAAGGTTTAGTGATTGGGCTTTTTGCATAACATTAATATAGCCCAAAATGAAAGAGAGGCCCAAATGTCGCTTCTCATCGCTTCATTGTTCTTTTAACGACATCTCACTCTTATTGCAAAAGGACGGCATCTCACTCGGAATCCAAGCCCCCCATCGTCATCCCTTCCGGCCATCCGCATCTAATTCCAGGTTTGAATTCCGAGACTACCTGTTTTATTTCACCGTAAACCAGGTTACGTTTGTTTGATCAGAAACATATTGGAATTGTATAATTATATATGCGTCTTCCTTAAAAAAAAAAAAAAAAAGGTTAATCGGGTGCGGGTAGAGTAATGACTTTCTCTGATGCAGTATATGGTAAAATCATACGCGCGTGTTGGCTTCAATTAAATGATCCATGGGTATGGAGTCTAATAATTAATGCTGCTGCAGAAGCATCCTCTTCACTGCTAAATCATCTGCTCAGCTGAACTACGAATCATGAGTCTTGATCATGACTTTCCCAGTGCGGAAAATAACAGGACCTCTTATCTAATCATGCACATGCACCCACGTTTGCCGCCAAACCAAGCCCAACCATCTCAAGTGGTTCTTTCCGCCCTGGGAAATCAGATTATCGGTACATTTCCCAAATAGCTGACTCTTTAACTTGTGTACTAAGCGTCATCTTCTTGCTCTTATGTTTGCACAACTGGCTTTCTGAACATCGCAACGAAGCCCCCACCCACGACATCTCAACTTTTAACTCCACTAGGCGACGTTTTTTCCCGTACATCTTTATTCATTATTTAGCTTTTCTTTCAAAATATTATCCTCACTCTCATTGCCAAAAATAAATACTACCATCACATGACTAAATTTTCATTTTCTTCACTCACTGAAACATAGCATGGACTACGAGATACAGTGGCAAATCTCTCCTTAGATACTAAAACCATTACAGTGCCCCAAACCAAATTGCACTTGTCTCTGTGACATAACTTGCTAGTTTCATGACCTATATACATAAATAATTAAAAGAAAGAAATGAAACAAGAATTCTGGTGATCTAAGATGACGACAGTTTATTACTCAAACTCGTTAAGAGTAGCAATACAGAATACTGAATGAATCCCAATATTTTTGTCAAGGTAGTTGGCTAAAGGTCAACTAATAAATGGAATGATGGAATCATATACCATAGCAGTCAATCGAAACAGGGACACAACACCTCTCAGAAATTTCCTATCACATGTATTGCCGCGGAAAGCACATAGATGCCTCTATATATCTCTATCTATCAATGTTTATATTCACAAGAAACCCAAAAGCCAGGACCGAAGGGATAAAGTGGTGATTATCAAGCGCAGGAGACGGAGGAAACGGCGAGAGGATAGAGGAAGGTGTTGGCGTACTGAAAGGAGAGAGTAGCGCCGACGGCTAAGGCTTTGCCGTCATTGAGGAGGCAGTCATTGTAGCGAAGACGCTTGAACACCTTGGGGTTTATCAGACGCACCGAGCTGAACCACCCACAGCTGACGTGGATGCCGGAGATATCGCACCCGCTCCCACACATGTTGGTCACCTCCACCGTGTACGTCGGAACCCCACTCGCCAGCGGCGCCGTCGACCCCTGCCTTATCACTATATCTTCCTTCCTACATTTCTGGTCACCCCACATCCTGTTCACCTCCTTCTTTGCACTCCCTATTCAAATCCACACAACTTCCATGTTCACGTTCTATACTTTGAAAACAAAAACAAGGCAAAGTAAACTGTTCCATTAACTAATCATAATCACCTCCAAGAAGCCTGCGATGAGTGGAGAGTGTAATGGTGTGGGTTCCTTCTTCCTGAATACCCAGCCAGGTCGTTATTATACCAGCTCTTCTGCTACTACTCATATCTGATATGTAAACCATGAGCATCATTAGAGTGCATAAAAACAAAAGAGTTACGAATCAAGACGAAGAGAAGGATGACTAAAAATCTTCGAGACGTAGAGAAATACGAACACACCGGCGAAATATGCAAGCAGTCCCAGGAACAATATCGATGATGCTGCCATGACAACGATCCCTGGAATGGAACGCGTTTCCATTGCTAACAGAAGGAAAAGGACACTCCGTGAGTGATACGGACCGCTATATATAAGGCGCCACGAGAGAAAGAAGATCATAGAATGATAGAAATGAAGATATGCGTGAAGGACAAGGCTGACTAAAGTACGGATGATAGTATGTGCAGATAACACTCGGACAAGACTCCGTTTTTCATTTCTCCACAAAAATACAAGATTTTGAAATATTGCAGCAGTGATTTAAAAGATGTCACATCACACATCAACCCGGCAATAAGCAGCCGTCGATCCAAACGTTAAAAGAAATCTGTGACTATTTTTTACCAGTATTTACTGAGTTGTCAGTCACGGGGCAAAGAAGAAACTGGTGAATGAAATATGAAGAACTGAGAGAAAGAGAAAGATCATATTCAAACCAACAAGAATATTAAGTGATTAATAAATGGCATTCAGGAAGGATCCAGCTTGCATTAGCATCAAAAATAAACCCACAAGGTCTTTGTCAAACTTTCAATCAAGTGACTGAGAGAGGAAAATTCTCTGAGCAAGAACATCGAGAGTGGCCGGGGAAAGCGTGTGGAAGACGAGCGAAACAGGGTGTTAGCTGGAAAGTTTTGAACAAAAGGAGAAGCATGGGGAATGCAGGAGTTGGAGCAGCCAAAAAGTGAACGCGTGAACAGCGAAGGCATAGGCGAAAAAGCAGGGTACGTCACAGAAAAGAGAAGAAGAGGAAGGAGACATGGAAACAAAAGCACCTGCGAAAAATGCAAGACAGAAGGAGAGTCCAAGAGACAAAAATAGGTAGCAGAGCAGGGCCAGAAACGACAAAACATATTCTAGAATCCTCAAAAAGTCCAATATCCTCCTTAGTTGCATTTAATAGTGAGATACAAACAGAGGTTCAGTTCAGAGAGATAGAGAGAGAGAGAGTGTGTGTACTTTTGAAGACGAATGGCCTGAGCAGCAGAGGGAGGAGAAGAAAGAGCAAGGCTCTGGTTTTGCTCTCGGACGGAGTGAAGCTGGCGGTCTCAACTCAACTCGTATATTTGAAGAGGGGGTGAAGAATCGACCAATGATGAGACTTGCGACGCAAGATAGTCAGAAAATTGTAACCATGGTTAGAGCGCACGTGGGGTTTGTTAACCTTCCATGGTTACTTCTTAATAATAACGTAATGTCAACGCTCTATTAATTAATTTGGTTTCTTTCTTTCTGTCCCTAAAATTTCATGACCATAATTTTTAACGTAGTTCAATTTGATTTGGAGTTTTCTATCCATTATAACTTCCTAATATTTTTAAATTTGTTTCTTTATGGAGTATCTATCCATTCTATTGTGAAAGATTAGAATTTCCTATTTTTGTTATATATCAATTCCCATGGTCCGAAGGAAGAAATACTGACAAGCTTTTTCTTTGAAATTTTTTTTTTTAAAAAAAACTGATGGAAATCTGGACTTGAGTGAATACGAGTCCGACCCGGCTGTGTCATCATTTATCATGACATATTGCTTGTGTCCACACCGGGGTATCTCCGTCGTCACCATTCGCCAAGTTGCCATTTCTCTTTCACTCGCACATGTTGAATAATGCTCCTTTTAATTATAAATATAAGACTTATTTGATGATGTAATTTACACTACAAAATAAGTTTACAAAATGAGTCTTATATTTAGAATTGGATAAATATCATTTAGATTCTCTCTTCATCATGAACCATAAAGACGCAAAAAGACAGGTGAACCAATGTGAGATTCCCGTGACTAATAAAATTTGTTGCCACCCTTTTTTTTTTCACCAGCGTTGCCACCTCATTTTTCTCTTCTGATTTTCGTTTCTATCTGAGGGTCTCGATTTTTGAGGCCCTAAGCCCAACACCTGTATTAGTCCATCAACTTCGGCCCTTCCTCAATTCCAAATAAGACATCCCAAACTTTCACGAACTGGCTGCGTCACTTCAAAAACACCTTGTATCTCCTGCTTCTCTTTCAGTGTATCAATATTCCATTGAGTTTAGGAGCATCCAACTATTACAGAAATATGCAAACTAAATACGTTTTAATTATAAAACAGAGTTCTTTTCAGTTACACAATTCATTAAGATACCTCATCTAGTGTTCCTAACAGATTCTGGGCGGCAATTGTTTGTCCATTGTACTACTTTTGGTTCTTAATATAAAAACCAGTTGACTAATTTGAATACATTAATAAAATTAGTTAAATTAGTTATTTATAAGAAATAGATGTTGTCTTTTTTAAAATATTCTTACTAATCAAATCTATTGGCTAGAACTACTATCACTACGAGGACTATTTTAGCAAAAAATAGATAAATATGAGAGACAAAGTGGATTAAGATCTTATATTTATGATCAAAATAAAAATTAAACAAGCTTTTATATTAATGACCAGAAATAGTATATGATTTAAATAAAAGCATCAGCTCTATGCCACACGACATGAACGATTATTTGTGGAGAAAATAGATAATGAAAACCCATAACAACTATACAGTAAAGAAATAGCAGAAGGGAAAGCATTTCAGTTTTGTCCCCTCAAACTGTAACTCCCGCGACAATATTTGATGCATCCATGTGGCCGAAGACAAGAAAGCAGATACAAAACCCTTAATAAGTTCACCGTATACTCGAACCAAAAAAAGAACTGTTCAAATTGCAAACAAATCCCAATAACAAAATCTGCAATGCCTCAGCTTATTTTCACATTACGTCTGATGGATTACCCCCTGAGAAAATATATTTAAGCCCAACTCCCTAACAGACACAACGTGCTATATTGGCAAAGCATTGATATCTTTGATCAAATCTCCAATCAATAATTTTGCAGAGCCGGTTATAAAATTTCTACACCTCTCACCTCAGAAAGGATTCGAAATTTCTCTGCCTCAGTTTATTTTCATCTCTTGAGTTAGGCTCCTTTTTGTTTATCAGATCCTTACTCATAATGTGAAACGAGGAATCGGGTTATAAATCCTTCCTTTGCCAATCCATGTGCGCCATTTTGATAAATTATTCGAGTTGGTTGATCCCCATCGAATTAAAATCTGGTTTCACACTAAGCGGATAAACTATAAAACTTTCTACAGCAAGATGAGAGAAATACAGAAGATGACATGCATGACCTTTGTGGCTGGGACCCTCTTGTGGACCAAAACCTGTATTGTCCACTTTTTTACATAGTTTATCAGCAACAATTGTCTTCCGACGTATAACCTTCCCGTTTCACAGATAACGTGCCAATCTCGTACGCCATTATAAATTATTCAAATTGGTTGATCTTCACGAACACATCGGGTTTCACATTCTGCGGATCAACTATATTAAACTACCATGTATTCTGCAGAAAAATGAGTAAAAGAGAAGATAGCATATGCATGACTTGGCAGAGATGCTCTTGTCGATCGTAATCTTTGGCCCCGTTTTTATGTAGTTTATCAGGACAAATTGTCTTCTGACATATCCCTTCTCATCAGAAGATGATGACGACTCAGATAATTACTTTGTATCTTTCTTTTCTGAAATGTTGACATAAGGTCATTTACGTTGTTCTTTTAATTAAGGGGGATAGGTGAAAACTGAAAAGCTTTCATGTGGTTAGAAAATGGAAAGAGGACAAGAAAGTCGTTCAAGCTTGCACAAGATAGTCAACTTCGGTAATTTTCTCACCCACCCCTGGAAGAGAAAATGACGGAGAGCTTTACAAGCCTTGGTGACAATTTCTGATTTGCCCTTTAAGCTATTTTCCGCGATCCACACAGTCCACATCTAATTGGATTTACATTGGGTGCTCATTAGTTTTGATGAGCACCTAATGCTCATCAGATCTGAACAGTCCAGATATGATCTGGACGGTCCAGATTTATTTTTATTTTTTATTTTTTAATTATTATTTTAATAGGTATAGGATAAAAAATAAAGATAATCTCTTAACTATTATTTTTTAAAAATATAATTTTTTCTATTTTAAAATAATTATTTAATAATATTAAATCTGGACCATCCAGATCTAATCTGAACAGTCCAAATTGCTCATCAGGTGATGAGCACCGAATGGGAACCCCATCTAATTGCGGCTCTCGAGATATTTTATTTGACTTCATTCTGGTTCTTGAATTTTCACAACTTCAGTTTGCAAAATTAGTTGGCTGGTTTTACATTCTTCTTGTTTTGACCCAAACAGGGGAAGAGAAAGGATTGTTGGATATATAATACTCATCCGTTCTTAATATATGACCTAACTAAGAAATTAACATTGTGATATATGTACGACTTATTTCATATATTTATTATTTTTTTAATTTAATCTTATTGATATTCCTCCCATAATAATCAAGTATAAGAGAGAATGAAAGAATTAAAAAAGATGCTTATGATATTTTAGAAAAAAAAACATATCATATTAACTAATTTAATTAATATTTTTAATCTACTCAAATTAATTAATTAGTTCATATATTAAGTGCATGAAGAGTATTTTGTTTTGGTTGGGAAGGAAGAAGCAGCAGACAGGGAAAAAGGATAGAGGGCATTAGGTGAAATTCTGCTGTCAATCCTTTCATTCCTCCTCCAATTTTTGACCGACGTGACCTGGCTTTTGGGACACCACAAAAAAAAACACTTAAAAAAAGATAAGAAAAGACTCAGCGAGTCAATTTTAATTATGAAAAATTAATTGCAGACGATTAGTAATTTGTTATGTATGTACTCCTCCGGTCCTTATTATAAGACCCAATTTAACTTTTTATTTGGTTCTAATTATAAGACCCAATCCATTTTCTCTCTTATATTTATGTATTTTTTCCAAGATAATCCTTCTAATAATGATAGTTTTAGCCAATATACTTAATTAGCAAGGATATTTTAGGAATAACAACACTTATTTATTATAAATAACCAACTTAACTTACTTCCTTAATCTCCTCAAATAAGTCAATTGGGTCTTATAATTAGGACCGGAGGAGTATAATATTTAGGTATTATTAAGAAAAATTACGTCAATCATTTTATTACATTTTTACAGCTAGCTCTAATGGAACTTGAGGGGGAAAAAACTGAGTCCAGAGAATATGGAAAGAAAGTTTCAAATATAGAGGATAAAATTTTAATTGTCATTTGATGGACACGATGATCCAAAAGTCAAAGGCGGTTTGCTCTGTATTTCGATTTCAACATTTTAATTTTCATTTTGCTTTTAAATACACACAGCCTTTATTTTATTTTCTTCCCGTTAAAAAACGGAGTCTAACAATCTTTTTTCCTAATGTCTGACGACATGTGTGTATCAAAATTTATATATAGAAAGTCACAATATTTATAAGTTATTAATACTATTCTTAATATGTATATTTATGCATCAATCACTACATGCTTTCGAATTTAGACTCATGGTAACGTTGGAAACCTGAATCTAGTTTTTCTCTAACGTGTTTGAACATTTTTTTTCTAAAATTACGAAAATAGCTATAATTTTCAATTTAGCCCTAATGTTTGTGTGTAAAATATAATTTCAATATATGATCCTAGGTAGTCTGATATGTACAATCACGTTAATAAATTATAATTGAGTTTTTAATTAATCTAATTAATTAAGAGATATGTTTAATTTGAAAAATGATTTCAAAAAGTGACGTGAGAAGGAAAAGCTGGAAAGGAATGGGGAACTGGGGAAGAGTTACGCCGTTGACGTGATAATAGTCGAAGCCTCATCTTTCGTAATGTGTATGCATTGACAAGTAGGCGCAGTGATTAATGCGACTAATTTGACCAATCAATATCAATAGTCCCCGTTCTAAACCTGAAGGCCCCTGCAGTATATTACCCCTCCAATTTTTAATATAAAACCTAATTATTGAATTGGTTTCGGTTTTAAATACTCTTCCGGTTCTTATTATAAGACTCGATTTGACTTTTTATTTGGTCCTAATTATAAGACCCAATCCATTTTGTCTCTTATATTTATGTATTTTTTTCCAAGATAATCCTTCTAATAATGATAGTTTTAGCCAATATACTTAATTAGCAAGGATATTTTAGGAATGACAACACTTATTTATTATAAATAACCAACTTAACTTACTTCTTTAATCTCCTCAAATAAGTCAATTGGGTCTTATAATTAGGACCGGAGGAGTATAAGACTCATTTCTTATATTTATCAATTTTCTCTAAATTACTTCTATTAATGCTCCTTCAACCATAATCAAGTAAAAAAGGGAGAAAAAGTATTAAAAAGGATTATCATGGTGTTTTAAGAAAAATGTATCACATTTCTTATAATTAACTAACTTACCTAACTTTTTTAATCTAATCAAATTACTTAAATAAGTTTTATATTAAGGAGGAGATTATTATCGTTGTTGTTATTATTATTATTATTCTCCCCCTCCTACTTTGATCGAATCTAAACTGTTACGTCCTGCACGCCTTAATTTATTTATTTATTTACCGGAGCACGCCTTAATTTATTTACTTCTACGTACTTTCTATATTTATGATAGCTAATCTGTATAGTTCAATTTAAACGAAAAACTAAATCTTATACTACTTTCGGTTCTTAATATAATAACTTATTTGACTTTATTTTGGTCCTAAATATAAGACCTAAATCTATTTGTCTCTCATATTTATTTATTTTTCCCAATATAATCCTTGTAATGATGGTAGTTCTAACCAGTGCACTTAATTAGTAAAGATATTTTAGGAAAAACAAAACCTATTTATTACAAATAATTAAACTAATTTTCTTAATCTACTCAAATTAGTCAACTAGCCTTTATATTGAAAAGCGGAAGTAGTATTATTTGAATTTATACGGTGTATTGTTTTGGCAAGGGAAAGAGATGACAGTGCATTAGAATTTTGATAGTTTATTCAATGAATGACGCGTATGGAGTTCAATAATTGTGCAGAGGAGTTTCTTGCTAGTTTAATGTTCAAATCTTTTGGTTCACCAAAACGTTCTGATATACACGGAATGTTTGAAATCACTTATATGTGGACTTTTTGATCTTAATTTTCGTAACACAGAATAAGTATATAAGGTAAGTTTTATTTCGATTTACAGATAAACATGTTTATTGATCATGAATTCAAGCAAGACTATTATCATAATAAATGATGGGTGATAGTGACAATAATAGTACCTGTCAGCTTGGCAATAGCGAGCGAAAAGTAGCCAATAATGATTTACTGCAGCGTTTGACCAATATCGTTCGCTCAAACAAGATATCTTTTTAATTTTAAATATAAAATTTATTTTGTAATATAATTTGCATGACAATAAGAGTCTTACTCTTAGAACCAAAAAAATACTATACAAGGTGATATCAAGTAATTACTAATTAGTGTAAAGAGAAAATGGCTGGTTTGAATGATAGAATAATAAGACTGCATATGTAATAAATTTTTATCAAGTTCTAAGTAACTCTGATAAACTGAATTGAATTATGAGAAACTGGGGATAAATCTCCCACTGATGGTAAATGGGATTAAAAGATTTTGTACAACTTAACTTTTATTGTGTACAACTTAATTTTCTCTGTGTCTGATTTATCTTCCCTTATATGTAATAATTTTATTTTATGCAACGTGCAACTCAATTTTTCTTTATGCAAATAAAATTCTGGAAGTTATCTTCCCTGTGTATAAAGTAATCCCTTAAATCTAAATAATGTTTTGTGCAAGCTATCTTTTTTGTGTGTGTAATTAACTTACTTTTCTTTGTATGTAACTAGTATTTTCTTATACAATCAACTGTTCTAAGGGCTACTTAGAAATTAAATTTGTAATAAGAGATTTATTTTCAATTTTTTTCTTGAATTATTCATCATTTTAATGTATATAAGTATTATGAAGCTAATGCAATTTATTACTTGCGCCAAATAAATCATGGGTGTGTGTGAGGCATTAGTTTGTACAATCCAACATTCCATGCCATTGTGTGCCTGCCTAATGGAGTTTCTATGTTCTAGCTGCTACCCTTCTTTTGACCGACACGTCACTTCAGTCCGATTAAAAATAAATTATTAAATATTTAAACATGCTTGCTTTGTCAGTTTGTGGAAATATTGGGCGAACATTGTGACATTGGAGAAACTAATTATTAATTAATGGGAAAACATATCAGGTCTTTATATTTAATAGGATTTACTTTCCTGTATTTATAGTTTATTTCATTAGTCTTTGAGACAGTTTATTTGCTTTGCGTGAAATGCCAGTCCTTTTAAAAAGGACGATGATCTAGTCTAGTTAGCGCAAACGTTGTCAATTTGACTGACGTGCACAAATCTGACACCGTTAAACATCATGATTAGGAAAAACAATGTGATGACTTGAAAAGGAAATGCTTGCTTCATTATCAGATCAAAATTTTGGTAGGAAGCTGACTTTATATCAAAGTTAACATTGATTGGGTGTGATAGGAATCTTTCTAAGTATTTTTAAATTATATGAATTAATATTTTGGATACAACAAATAAAAAGGACAGGACAACATAAAAAATAAATCTGAGAGACTAAAAATAAAATACAACTAAAACACACGATGATCTGAAGCAGAGGTATTTTCCTTTTCAACAGCGGATGTATGCATTGATTGAAATGTTCAACGCATCCTTTTCATTAAAAAAAAAAGAAAGAAAAATCCTAAGGAGTCAATAACTGATCTCCTTAACACTTTCAAAACCGACGGGCACGTGGCGGGCCCCATTGCCGGTCCGCGGATATGCATTTGGTAATGATAATTGATGACTCCTTATGTCCGCACCGAACTTTGTATTATTGTAAACCACTTGTTTCTGTCCCAAAAAAAAATTCCGTTGAAAATTTGATTAGTAAAAAGTAGACATAAGTTTTTACCAACAGAAAATACGCATTTTATTTCTGCACATTTTGCATAGTTCCCTTTTTTATTAATAAAAATTTCAATTAGAAAATTTCTCCAATTTTTCTAAAAATTATCTGATCGAGTTGATATATTGTGTAGGTCCCTTTGTGACTGACGGGGAATTAGATGCATATTGCATGGAATGATTGACTGGAGAAATGAGGGAGCCGCTCTTAACGTTGAAAGTTAGTAAATTGCGGCAAAAGGAGAAATTATTTATTTTATTTATGGTTCCGCTTTTGAAACTTAATTAGATGCATGCATTGGATTAAGTTTCATTAAGTGACGCAATATCGTAGTTTTGGTCTGAAAGGAGCGAAAATTAACAGTGAATGACGACTGTGGGTTCCATTTTTCTTCTGCCCCCGTTGCAAAGTCACATTGCTAATCACTTCCATCGTCAATACTACAATTAATTTCTGCAGAAAAAGCCCCCTCGTGATATACAGATATTTGACATGATGCATAAATACGTAGTGTTATAAGTATAATTATAGTAATATTTCCAACTAAATCAATAAACCCCCTTATATAATTAATTGGCCTTGTTAAATTATGTAAACTATTGATAAATTAAACTAGGATATTGCACTTTCTTCAATGTTGAACTCGTTCGTTCAAAATCAAACGGCGTTTATAATTAAACAGAATAATAATAATTTAAGATGTCGTCAATTCGTGAGGCTTAGACTCAGACGACCATGCTGAGATAGAAAGCAAGCAGTCAAAATCCCTCCATATTATATACACGCCTCTCTCTTCCTCTTTCATCTCCTCCAAAAGTTCCCACCCATCCCCACCAAAAGAAACCCTAACCGCCATGTCTCTGTCCATGTTCTCTATCAAGTCCACCTCTTGATCCCAGAAACACGGGTCTCATACAGTCGCTAGCTGCGATCAAGGGATGGAACTAGTTATGGAGAGCGTGAAGGAGAAGTGCAAGAGTGTTTGGGGGCGATGCAAGCGATGCAGAGGGGGAAGCAGACGACGTCGCAGCTCCAACATAGTCTCCATGGTTCGAGAATCCTTGGGAAAGAAACAAAATAAGAAGAAGCAGATGGCTCCGGAGGGATGCTTCTGGGTGTATGTGGGACCCCAGAGAGAGAGATTCTTGGTGAAGATAGAGCTAGCTAATCACCCAGTGTTCAAGGAGCTTCTGGATGACGCAGAGAGCGAGTATGGATTCAGAAACGATGGGCCTATTAGGCTTCCTTGTGATGTTAATCTCTTCTGCGACGCTGTGGCGGAGATGGAGATAGAGATGGAAGAAGATAAGATGAGTTCTGCGTCATGGGCTTGCTCCTTTCATCCTAAGAGTTATCCAAACTCACTGATGCACAGTCCTCTTTCCAATCTTTCTAACCATACTGGTACTGCGGATTACGAGCTGTTAAGCCCCTGCAGATTGTATGTTTAGACTATATATATATATATATATATATATATATCACGATGTCCCAGAGCTTAGTGTTGTGAATAATGATATATATACCTGTAAAAATACATAAACCTGGGATGGATATTGATCATGACAAGAGGCACGTGCCTGTTTTATTTTCTTGTTCATGGACGTCGTCGGAGAGGAGAGGAAAAGCATCTATCTATATATGGCTAACTCAAATCTAGGTTTCAGTTACAAGCTTTAGATATTCCAACTGACATATTGTCCGATGTATAGATTAATGCATGTTTTTGGTAATGATTTTCCGTTCTGTTCTCTTCTTTGTTTTTTTCAAGACAACTTCGTCGTACCTCGTTTAACTTAACCAGCAGCTAATATGATTAATGCATTGATTGATTTATAATTTGGGACTGATTATGCCGTGTTTTCTTTACAAGCAGTAATAAGAGAAGGCGTGACATACATATAATTGATACTGTGTTCGTAAAACTGAATCGATTTTATTTTTTCCTTTTCTGAAACCAAATTAACCATCGCGCTTACATCCTACAGAATCGATTTATTTAAAGTGTCCTTCCATGTTGTGGTATGCTTGGGTTACGTTAAAGTCGTGTTTCTTTAGTTAATAAGATTCAAAAGGTTTATCCTTTCCGGGGTGCAGATCCATAATAGATACATAAAAATTATTGCGCGTCAAATTACATCAAGAGCATTGGTTTCAGAAGATGGAATGTCTAATTTTTTTTTTAATGAAAAATGATACGTTCTTCATACAAATCTCTAGAAATGATTATCTTTATCCAGCTCTCAACACACCCGAGCAGCAACTTCAACGTTTAATTCCCTTCGTTACAGGTTATTTAACTTCATTGCACCACATCTAGTCATACTTAATTGTGAGAGAAATTTTTTGTACTCCTCCGGTCCTAATTATAAGACCCAATTGACTTATTTGAGGAGATTAAGGAAGTAAGTTAAGTTGGTTATTTATAATAAATAAGTGTTGTCATTCCTAAAATATCCTTGCTAATTAAGTATATTGGCTAAAACTATCATTATTAGAAGGATTATCTTGGAAAAAAATGCATAAATATAAGAGACAAAATGGATTGGGGTCTTATAATTAGGACCAAATAAAAAGTCAAATAGGGTCTTATAATAAGGATCGGAGGAGTATCATATATATTTCATCTAAGTCAAAGTCAAAGAACCTTCTGGATCCCTTTTTATTCCTTGCCAACCTTAAAAATGATCCAAAATTGTAAATAATTGATAAAAAGGGGGTCTTTAATTAAGAAAGAGTTTGGGGCTGGTTTGGCGAATTTATTCTTACATTTTTAAATGAAAAAAAAGGACTGAAAAATGATAGTTAAATAATGAAATCCCCAGATGGTTATCAAAATAAGCAAAATTTCAATTTAAGTATAAGAGACCAAATTGACATTTGTAAATTTGCTAAAATGACCATATTGCCTTATATTTTTTTAAAAAAACCAAACATTCTCATCGGTTGGAGAGCTTCGGTGTCAGTGACAGCCGTTAGAATTTAGGTGCGTCAATGGTCATTGCCGGTGGCTGGAAACTATTTTTTTGGAGATTTTTTTAAGTCCAATAATGCGATTAATAAGTTCGGTATAACAGTTAACAACAAGTATTTCAAAAAATTCAAAAAGTGACATTTTTACAACTTCAGTAATGTGGTTAACAAGTTCTGCAATACTATTAACAAGTTCGATATAACATTCAACAACAAGTTTTTGAGAATTCAAAAAGTAAGATTTTTACAATTTCAGTAACCCAATTAACAAATCATGTAACGATATTAAGAACTCTCATAATTTTACTTATTTAGATGACCATTTGAGAATTTTAAAATTTATGAATCATTTTTCTGTCATTTTCTCATCAAAGTTGAAACAATGTAAACTTCACAATCTGTTGGGTTAGCCCTTTGCATTTTATTCATTCACATCAAAGCACAAAAAATGAAAATCTTCTGCCGCGATTGTTTCTTTTTTTCCCAGATATTACATTGATGAACAGATAATTATTAATAAGAATAAAAAACAGAGCATTTGCCGGTCAATCTTGATCATATCTAGGCAACGACATGGTTTTATACTCAAAAGAATTCGTAAAATGAAAAATGAAAAATCATGGCTTTTGCAGGAGCCTTACTTATCAGCACGCTATATATGGCGTCTAAACATGGCCAAGGATTTTTTTTTTTCTGTTGTTGCAGTTTTTCATCCCAGAAGATGTAAAAAGCTTATCATGAAAATACAGTGACACATTAGGATTCGGTGTATATGTGTGTGTGTGTGAATGTAGTTTAATTTGCTTCCCCCTCCTTTTGTTCCTTTTTCTTTGCATGTTAAAATAGTTTATCATAACGAAAAGACCAGGAGATCAGTTTAGCAATCTCCTTTAATTTGTTTGCGTGTTATCGCAGTATCAAATGGTTGACTTTTCTATGTCAATTAATTCTTTGCATTATTATTCCAATAATTTATCATGGAGGCGCAGGAATTGGAAATAAAACCTCCTATAATTTCTTTCTTTATTTTCTTCATTTGTTGGTAATTTTATCCAAAATCTCTGTCTATTGTTGCAACGCAGATAAAAATCCACAAGTAGCGTTTAATGGGTAAACATCAAAGGCGGCTAGCTAGCTAGCTGCTATTCCTTCATATCAACAATTATGTGCCGTCATGACAATAACAACAATAATAAGTCACGTTATTCATATCAGGGAATAAATGATGCGATCTATAGTTCAAATTTTACATAAACTTGTAGGAAGAAAACACGCAAAATAATTGCATACGTGTTGATTACGTACACTACGTGTTAATTCTGATTAAAATAGATCCTGAAATTAAAGTAGTTGATATCTGGATCAAGCAAAACTCACAGAATCAACGATAAACCTACCATTCTCCTTATTATTTTAGAAGATACTTTTGATCCTATTTGAATCTTCTGATATGTATATATAATTAATACAGCAGTTTTGATACACACTACTCTGATCCTATATATAAAATTTAGTTTGCAGTGTAAATTACACTACAATCTATATCTTATGTTAAAGACTAGAGGTAATATTTGTAATTAATGACGTGTAATAGGGGTAGTAATTGATTAAAAGAGAGAAAAGAAAGACGATTAAACACTGCCTTGGGAAACTTGCAGGAACAAGTGTGAAGCGGAAAGCCTCAAATGATATTAAATGTGGTGTATGTGCTGGTCATGGTCAAAAGGGGCGAGCTCCACTAACAAGCCTAATTAATTAAGATAATGTCGCGTGACTGCTTCTACACTACTACTCCTCCGTTTCTTAATATAAGACCCGTTTAATTAATTTGATTAAATTAAGGAAGTTAGGTAGGTTAGTTAATTTTAAGAAAAGTGACACATTTTTCCTAAAACACCATAATTATCCTCTTTAATACCCCTTCTCCCTCTTTTATTTGATTATAGCTGAGGAGTATCCATAGGAGTAATTTATAAAAAATTGATAAATATGAGAAATGATCTTATATTTAGGACCAAAACCAACTCAAGAACTGGGTCCTATATTAAGGATCGGAGGAGGATTATCTATCCCAGCCATAATATTATATCTCACTCTGTTTTTAATATGTTTTATTAAGTGATTATCATTTCTTTCTCAAAACAACAATAACTTTTTAAAAAATTAGTATTCCCTATTATACCTAAACCCAAGTACTTATAGTATCTATATTTAATCAAATCAAAATAAATGGATGTTGAATTTAAATATAATTTAAAATAAAAATGATAGTAAGTTAGTAATAGAAACAGTAACACAAGGCTTAGTTATACGACAAACAATTGGTAAATAAATCCACGCATAGGTGGGGCAGTTAGATAATAACAAGGGTTAGTTATGCGCTAAACACAAAGGATTATCTGAAAATGGGGCAGGCCCAAATCTGCAGGCCCAGTTTCTGTAGTTATGGGCCTCGAATAAACGACGGACTGAAAGTTTCATCACGCTGGCATGTGTTGTCCGTAATACGGTATAAACGGCGGAAAAGGAAGAAAGAAATGGAATTTGGTCCAAATCAACTTATAATCTCCGTTGGTTTGGACTTTCCTTTTTCATTTTCTTCGGCCGAAAGAATAGTGACTGGGCTCGTTACATAACTTGTGCCCAAAATTACAAGGAAGACCAATCGCGTTTCTCGTGATATTGTATTTCAATACTCTTTTTTCTTAACACAAAACCTATTTAATAATTTGATTAGATTAAAAAGTTAAGTGAGTTAATTAATTATAAGAAATATGACATATTTTTTCTAAAACATCATAATCGTTTTTTTAATATCCTCCATCTTTTACTTACTTGATTATGATTGAGAGAGTATCCATAGGGATAATTTAGAAAAATTAATAAATATAAGAAATATTTTTATATTTAGGATAAAAATTAACTTAACAATTAGGTTCTATATTAAGAAACAGATGAGGAGTGCTAAATTTAGATCATAGATGCAGCATACAGATGAGAGAGGGATGGATATTCGTTGTTTGTGGGGAAAGGGAAGGGAGGGAAGTCATGTGAGTGATGAGAACATATGGAAGGAATCGCAAGATATGGTGGCGATAGAGGATCTGGAACATATAATAATTAATGCAGAATGAATCATAAGTGGAGGGTCAATGATGTTGGTTTTACATAATAATAAATCACATTATTGTTATTATTATTATTATCAATAATCAGGTCATATTGGGATCTTGTTTCCTATGCGTCACGATCCTCCAACATGTGATGTTAAAAGCAGCCCTGTCTTTCTATATTCCTTCATTTCCACTTCCACCCAGCCAGCCACTCTGCGTCGTCCTCTCTCGTAGTGGATGCTCGATGGGGCCATATTTAATTAAAAGGCCCTTGATATTGTTGATTGGATAAAAATAAAGGCCACCATTCATTTGGGTAAATTATTTTTAAATGGAGGACAAATGTCACGCATGATTACAGGATCTCCCTCCTCCTCATTATTATTTGATTATATCTCCCTCCGTACAAACCCATCCATTCATTAGGAAGCACCACAAAGGTTTGTTCTTATCTTGATGAGCCATCCATATAGATATTAAGATTTCACTTCACATATGTGCCATCCCATTGGAACTCAGCCTCTAAATCCAAGGCCCTGACTTGGGATATTTCAACTCGATCGACTAAATAACCTTGCCTGTGTAAGGAATGATCAACGCAAAAAGCGGAGAGAGATCGAGTTGTAAATCTGTTATACTCTTCTTCT